TAAACCATACTAGAGCGTTGAAACAATACAGGTTTAAGAATGACTGCTTTAGACATTCTTTCTTTCCTTGGGCAATTCAAGATTTGAATGAGCTACCAAACGATATTGTCATCCTATCACCTGTTGAAAATTTCATTACTGCTGTGGAAAGTTTACTTACCTGAGTTATTTTTTCTTTTTTTTTTTTCGTTTCTATTTATAATTGTACTTGTGTCGTATGGTTTACCCACTCCTACTAAGGCTCCTTGAGTGGATCCAGTAGTATTTCCAAATAAATAAATTAATAAATAATGAAATGCTATCAGGACCACTGGCTTTGGTTTCATCGATGTTCTGCAATAAGGCCTCAATGACACTTACACTAAATTCGACTGGTCGTATTTCGGGAACATCACTCACGTACAAGGAATAGTTGTAACTGCATTTAGGCAAAAAGAAAACGAACTGAAAGATAATATTTAAACACGCGGCTTTCTCTGCGTCGTCTAAAATTACCCGCTCATTTTGCACAATTTCACTAATTCCTACACAATCCGAACCATAATTCGCAACATTAAAAAAAAAAAAAAAATAAAGTATAAAGTTTAGAGCTAGTTTTCATATTGTCAATGAGTTTTCTAAGTATTGGACCTTTGCGCCCCTGAAATTGAAATCGCGTTTCTGTACTATGTCCAATAACTTCTGCAACTGCCTATCGCTTTTGATTTTTTTTTTTTGTGCCTGATAAATGCTCACCTCTTTTCTTTCCTTAATCGAAGAACGACTGATGCTATCCACAGTTTCTTTCGTGTCTTAAGCCTATTGTGGAATCTATGCTTGGGATATATTTTTCGACAAGGTCAAGAAGTTTATTTTTGAGCAGGCTCCATAATTTGTGGACGTAAGAATCTTCGGCTTGACACGAGGAAACAGAAGTGTTTAACCTTGTTTGCACGTGACGTTATGTCACTACACGAGGTCTGGTAAAAAAATTCCGGCACTGATTTTTCAGCGTAGAAATAGAGGATAGCAGAGTGAGGCACGCGCAGCAGTCAAAGGCAGGGACCTTCCTTTGTCAATGTGCCAAAAGGGCGTCGCCCTAGGAACATTTGGAATTGCGCTACACGAGTTTGTTTGACCACATGCACGAACATAATGGCGATCTCTCCATAGACTGGAAACCAAAGCGAGAGCGAACTTCAATTTTACGTCAAACTCGGCAAGTCTAAAACAGAGACCTCTGGAATAATTAGACGACATGTCAAAAAGCAGTGAGGTGTGCGAGGTGTTTTGAGCGGCACTCGCGCCTCAAGAATGGCAGAACGTCACTGAAGTCAAGGACCTTGAGGTCGGATAAAGTCGCCGTACCGCTCTTCGTCTTACAATGTTCTGCCGTTCATGAAGAGCGAGTGCCATTTAAAACACTTCGCAAAATTCACTGGTTCTTGACAGGCCTGCTGAATCATTTCAAAGGTCTCTGTTTTCTATTTTCCGAGTTTAACGCATAATTCATGTTCGCTTTCGCTCTGGTTTGCAGTATATGGTGTAATCGCCATTGTACCCTTACATATGGTCGCAAAAACTCGTGGAGCGCAGCTCCAAAAGCCAAAGTTCCGCATTCATCCCCGTAGCGCCGTCTTTCCTGCACGGCGTCCGGAGTCTGCTCCTCACGTGACTGTATTCGGCGAATGGCGGCACCGCGCGTTGGAGGCACGCTGCGTGCTCGAAAGCAGGGGAACGTACGCCGGGGCGCGCGCAACGTCTACTTTCCTGCATGGCATTTGAGTCGGCACCTCACGTGATCGGATCTCCGCGAATAGCGGCGCGGCGGCACGTGGGAAACAGACGCGCAACTCTGGCTCCCGTAGGGAGCCTGTAGAGGAACTCTACTCCAAATGTTCACAGAGCGACGCCCAAATTTTGTATAACGAAGCACGAAGGTCCCTTCCTTCGACTGCTTCGCTCGCATCGCCTTGCTGCCCTTTCGTTTTACGCTATTAAATCAGTCCCGGAACTTTTTGATGACACCTCGTATGCTGGTGGACATTGCGATTTGTTTTTGCGGAGAATATCAAATTTGATGGTTCAAAATGAACGCTGCAGAAGGTTCGCGCTCAGTGCAAGACACGTATTTGAGAGACACAAATTATTCTTGCTTGGTGCAGCGTCGAGAGGAACGGCGAGAGCGCAGCAGGCACCACGAAAAAGCGATTTCTGCGATTGTCTTTGCAGAGAAAGTGATTTCCGGGGCCACGCTTTGTGGTCTGTGCCGAAGATGCGGTGCAGACGAACCTATACAACGCAATACGCGTTTAAAGATACCCCCTGCCCCCCTTTTGTTTTATTGTTGCTCCTCCAGAGAATACATTTTATTTCTGTGGGACTCGCTCCTCCGTCTGGGGGTGTTCATTAGGCAATTATATTAGTTTCACTTGTTAACACTGATCCTCAATTGCTTTTATTTTGCACCAAAAAACGGTGCAGTTTAAACAAAATACGGAAGTGGTTAAAGCTTTGGTAATAAGAGAACGATACTCCTGTGAGTCTTAGAGAGCCTGCCAACTTTCGGTTGTCCCTTTCTTTTCTTTTCTTTTCGCGTATCCCTCCCGTACACACTTGTAGTTATGTAACGTCTGATTAATAGGTCACATTTAGTCATTTCAAGGCTTCTATTCTCGGGGACAACTTTCTCAGCCAGTTCAGCAACAACAAAAACACCGGACATGTAAAATGGATCGTGCAACGATTTTCGTCCTTTTAGGACGAAAATCGTTGCCGCTAAGAACTAATCTCCATAGCCGCTAAGAACTAATCCCCGACGTTGATAACTTGGAAAAATACGTAGTATTTTTCCTCTCTGCGCATTGGCAGACTGATACAAAAATAAAGGATAGAAATAGCTTTGCCTTCCTCAACTCTCATTTAGAACAAGTGACCACGTGATATGACGCTAATTTTATACCGCCATTAAGCGGCAAAGCAAAAAGCATGGGCTGAGCTTCACACATCGTTAGAGTTAGGCTAGTCTCATGTTTGATTGAACACGAGCCATTACAATGTTTAACGATGCTGATTGTCATGAACTAGAGCACTCGACTCATGCTCATGACAATAGATTATGTCGCGGTGTCACGTTACTCGGGGTACGAAGTCGTGATGTCATGTGAGATCAGGGTGTCAACAATGCTAATATTTAGTGACGTTCTCAGTTTAAATCGACTTGACGCAGTGACTCACGTGACTGCGTCACGGGGCCACGTGACGTGGAATTACTTGACTGCATGTCTTGACATCACAACGTCAAGCGGCTACGCGACAGATGATCAATCATAGTGCCAATACAAAAGCGCAACGAAACCCACAATTCCTCATACATTGCAACTCTGTATATGACGATTTGATCAGTACATACAAATACAGCTGCCAATTTTTATTGTCAAATATTCACTTTGTGATACTAACAAAAAAGAAAAGAAAATAACCGTGAAACAGTTTTGAAGAGGTTACCGTTATATTTTTTTTTTCCGGTTCAGTTCCAGTTCAGTTCCAAGATGGCGTCAAAGATTTCGGCTCGGTTCAGTTCCGATTCGTCTAAAAATAACGGTTCGGCTCCCGTTTTCGGTCCGGTTCGGTTCCGGTTCGAAACTCTGGTTCGGTTAAAACAGCGCTTCCTAGGAGCCGTAACAGTTTACGTGTTATAGAAAATGCAAACTATCATAGGTCAGGTTGCGTAAGCTGTAGGTTATAAACATTTCAAAAAATTTTGGCGTCAAATCACCTTGTGAAGCTTCATACATCGCATACAAATCAGAATATTTATTTAAAGTAACCTCTTTTAAAATAAGTACGTCTTCGCAATGCGATTATAGTTTACCAATTTTATTTCGGCAAAAATTGCAACTTCTACGAGCTGATGAAATCTTAAAAGACGTTTTTGACCTCTTCTCGGTTTTTGAGCTTTCATTTAGACCTTAGAAGAAACTCAAACGATCTTTTCCTTGTCTAAAATGTGACGCGTGATAAAAAAAAAAAAAGATCCTTTATCATAACAGGAAACCTTCTCGATAGCCATTATCACCCGGCGAATCTCCAAAAAAGCTTTCCTAAACCCAAGCTGACCGCTAAAAAGAGGTTACTGTCTGGCTGTATACAACGTCCGGATTATTCAACTTGTTTCCTCTATTAATGGTAAAGCAATCCTCTCCGCCTTTCCGTCAGCTCCGCTACGCACTCCTCCATTGCAGCAAACTAGTATTCGAAACAAGGGTAAGAAACGCACTTGGAATTAGCGGAGATCGTGCTGCAGAATTGAAATGATCCGATACTTCTGCACGACGCTAGGAATTTTTGGCAGACTGTTTTTGCGCTCCGGTAACGATATCCGATAACAATAGAATGATTGCGTAAACGCGCTGGTGACGTATCCGGTATGGTTATCGCTATAGGAACGATCTAATAAAACTCGCTAATGCCCACCTACACGTTTCACAGATCGCGGCGAAGCTAAATGAGTTGCTGTCTCCAGAGAATACGCCGTAAGATATTTTACACCCTTGTGCGCGTAAAAGGTGCGTCCCGGAAACTTACACCCACGGTTTCACCCTTTCAGCTCCCGTATGCCGAGTTATACACCTTTTGTAATAGTGAAGTAGGTGGCTGCTGAGTGGAATATCCATAATTCGTGAGGGTTGTAGAAAGGGTGTGGGAGGCACCCTTATATCGAGCAGGGTGCTGCTGAATGGAACACCCCCTGATTTGTGAAGGGTGTAAGAAGGGTGTGAAAAAGGGATGCTGCGCTGCAGTGCGGCAAACCAACAACATTCCCGCTTCAAACAGCTTCGAGTCTTTGCTCGGTGCGTGAGAGGTAGAAAACGCGACCCTCGAGTGATTCAAACATTGCGCGTTTCGTGGTGTGACTTCGCTAGAGCACGACCCGAGAAAAACCCCCAGCTCGTCCGCCCGTGCTCGTCAAGGTCAAGCGACGGGAACGATCAGCGTGGCGTTTCCCGGGAGTCGTTTCTTTCTCCGGCTACTTTCGCAATTGGCCGCCGACTCGGGCGAAAGTTGACGCGGCGCGCCTACGCGAGGTGCGGAAAACAACGTCGCTATCGCCCAATCCTTTCTAGCATCCGTTTGCAACGTCTTTTTCGTCGTCGGACGCGCGTCGGGGCAACCGGTTTTCCCGCACGACTGCGTCCCAGTGGCCCCGTGATGGTGGGCACCGCATCCGAGCACCGTTGTCTCCGACTGACCCCAGGATTACTGCTCACGCTGCTTCTGGCCGTCGACTGCCATGCCCTATTCCGACCAGGTCAGTGCGCCGCGTCGTCGCCGCGGGGATCGCGTCGCTCTCAAGGTCCTTTCACACGCCGTACTGCGACTTCGCTACGCTGAGATGAGACTCGGGAGCGTTCGCCCAAGTCGGCATCGCACTGGTGTCATACAAAACATAATCTGCAGTCACGAGGTGTGTTTCTTCTTTGTATGGGTAAGAAAAAATACTGTCTGCAGAGATGTTCTAAGCGTACATGAAACAAAGATGCTTATAATTGAGGCGTGTGCTAAGATGAATATGCCAGCATGTTTGTACGAGGAGCGTGACGGCGGCTTTACGTTTTCGTACGTTACGTTATAATACGACCGCCAGTCACCGGGACATATCCGTGCTCCGTATGTCGTGGGCAAGTCCGGTCCTTAAATTAGTTTCCACGCTTTGTACGAAGTATAGGAATGTTCTGGTGACTAGCAGTCGTAGCCTTACAGAAGGCTTCACAACGTAGTCAAACGGTAACCTCTCGAAATACTCTGCTACGTCCACACACACCAAACACCATGCGACGCTGTTCTGGTGGTTGGTTATTCGCTAATTATCCGTTTCTCTCTCGTTGCCGTTCGATGTAATTTTCTAATGATTGCTTGGGAATCGTAAGCCTCTGGAAGTCCGCCAGAAAACGCATTGCAAACTTTCTTAAAGAGTTTTTTTTTTTTCTATAATTATGAATGGTTGAATTTATGCAATGTCTAGACTCGCATAAGTAGTGAATGGTATGATCTCAACTAAGGTGACTTTAGCTTCAACTAACCTCGACTTGTAAACTGTGGTTCAGTTTACAAGTCTATTTAGACTTGTAAATTGAACCACCGTGCGAGACGGTAATCTAAACAACTCTATAATCGGTGACAGACGAATGGAAAATTCACGAGGTAGATTTGGAGCGGTTTCGGAGCGCTTTTTTCTTGATATCTTCAGGCACGTGCAAATGAGACATGGCATTCGTTGCTCTAAACGCGCGAGCATGGAGCAGTTTTCGATCGTTCCAGATCTAACAGCGGACTTTGCCATTAGAACTCAGTAGAATGCTCCACAACACGAGCTCAGTGACCCTCCGGGCTCATGCTGCGCGTAAGATGAAGTTTTATCAAAGGCAGAATGCTCATGTTCGAGGTTAGGAATTCCGTAATTGCAGTACAGTTTGAGCTATATATTCCTTTTTATGGATATGAAGGCACATCTTTACGAAATATTATTCACCATAAGGCTGAAGCAAGAACGAAAATTTACGGCTCCTTCGTTCATCTAGCGACAGAGCATTCGAGTCACTCGGGCTCCGCCGCCTCTGTCATAAACCTCAACGTATCCTTGCTTTAAAGAAATGAAAATAGTCATCGGAGACGACGAAGATCAAGGGGATTTAAATTGTGATTCATATTCTGATTTCAATCACTATGGGTTTACTGGGACTTTTTAAACGAAAAAAAAAAAAAAACTGAAATATATTATTGTTAATCGTTTGTCTCTCATTTGATTCTTTCCGTGTGCCGGAAAGAATCATTACTGTTTGTACTAAAATCCTTTAGATCCTAAAAACAATTTAGATCAAGCTGAACATGAGCGAAAATCGGTATTCTTTTGAGGAGATTGACCTTTTGTCTTTTCTACCTTGGATTTTGTTCGCTGGAACAAGAAAAGAAGACGGGAAAAAAAGAAAAGTATTTGTACGTGCATAGGCACAATACACACAACCAGCAGGAAGAGAGGGAGAGAAAGAGAGAGAGAGAGAAAAAGACGACTCTGAGCAGTGGCGTCGGAACAATGGGGGGCAGGGGGGAGGCGATGGCCTTTTTCCTAGTAATTTCCAGTAAACAATGCGAGGGATAGAGAAGGAACATCCCATATCTTCCTAAGTCGCCCCCCTCTTCTCTCCCGAAAAGTTCCGACGCCACTGTCTCTAGGAGAGTAGAGACGGGCACAGATAGACTGGGCGAATTATACCTCCAAGGTTGATCTTACATTGGATTAGCCTTGGCTACACTCTAAAAGAAGTTTGTGCGTCTACTTTCACGCACAACACTTAGAGAGCCAATCACCGTAACTTACGGAGGCAGCTCAGCAAATGACGATGCGGAAACATACGTTTAGACCAAAAAACGCAGTCTGAGTTGTGACATTAAGCAATGCAAGCGTGACGTTTTGCATTGCTTAATGTCACAACTCAGACTGCGTTTTTTGGTCTAAACATATGTTTCGGCATTGTCATTCGCCAAGCTGCCTCCATAAGTTGCGGTGATTGGCTCTCCGAGTGTTGTGCGGGAAAGCAGACTCACGGGCTTTTTTTAGAGTGTAGTATAGACTTTTTTCACAAGGGCGCCGCCATCTTAAAATATCGTCCGTTCTAGTATGGGCGGAAACATTGTTTTCTGTTAAGATTTAAGCGCAACCGTCACCCATTCTCGTTTTGTCTTTCCTCTATATTTTACTATTTGCAAGTTAAATTGTTTTCTTTTTTTGCCGCACATACTGGATATACATACCAGGTGGCTGGGGACGAGAGTAAGCGAAAATATGTATAGATTCACTAAGTGGTCTCAAGGAGACGCCATTTTGTTCAACTGCAGCGCCGTCTCTATACATCCGGGCATTTCAATGGGTTCGGCGGGGTAGAAGAGGGAAATACGATGCGCCCACTTTCAATAGCGGACGACAAACCGACCATCCATTCGGGGCTGTTACCCGGACGTAGAGTGCATTGCGTAACGTGTTGGTAGCGTTGGAAATCGACTTGCTGTTTCGGGTTTCCTTCTCTCACCAAGACTTGATACTGTGGAATTTATCTATTGCATATGCAAGACTTTTTTGTTGAGAACACCTTTCTTTCTTTTCTTTTTTTCTCGAGAATGCCAAAAGGTAGGTGCGCATACCGTGGCGGCTGGGGTGGCCGAAGCCGCCGGCACATTGTGCGGAAGGTCATGCAACGTTCTGTCTGTTGACATCCTATAAAACCCTAGTTTTTCGAAGTTCCCTCGCATATTTGACCTTCGGGCAGTGCTTCGTTCTGGTTGTAGGGCTGCATAGGTATGTGGCTCGTGAAAATAAAATTTAACTGTGTTTAGAGCTTCTTTTTTTTGTGTGTGTTTTTGTGCTGTCCCTACCAATTTTTCAAGGTTATAATATATGTTCTCAACGAACTCTTGCATAGTTGCTTTGACTTCATTTATTCGGGTGTTTCTCTACATTTGCTGTACTTCATTTCAGCATATTGAGGCGTCAAACGGCAAATTAACATAAAAAAACAAGTTCTAAAAATGATCAAATTGTACATACATGTCCGACGCTTCAATATCAGTAGCGAATTTTTTGCGTTTGTTTTGTTCAAGACCAAAGCTAAGCCTCGCTTAGATTTCTGTCATATCCCGGCATAAGCGTAAAAAAAAAAAAAAAAAAAAAAGTGTCGGCACAAAAAAAAAAAAAAAAAAGTGCGAACAGATGTTTTTTCTTTTTAATGGTGAAAAATCTTTTAATTCTTAATTTAACAGTTACCGACCGGCGCTCCAGGTTCGGATCGGCATGAAACTGCTGCAGGATACTCGTGTTGCATCCACATTTATTTCGCTTGACAGTCTGGGTCGTGCACGCAGTTTCGGCGTTTAATTTACCTTTATTTTCGTTCACTTATTTGGACAGCCAATGGCAGCACAATGGTGTCCAATCAATTAGGCTGTCGAATATGACAGCGTTACGCGAAACAAGCCATTAAATCTGTAAAACGGCGCTCAATATTACGGGAAAGGCTCGCATCGCCTCGCACCTGCTAAGCCTGCCGTTTCTAACAGTCTATTCGGAGGGGTATTAGATGCTAAACCAGTAAATGAAATTTGCGAAGGGAAAACGGACTTTGAGATATTCGTTTATCAGTTTTTGTGTTTTTCTTTTTGTCGTTCGATTCCATTACCGGATGTAGAAGCGGCGACGGAAACCCGGCCCAAGAAAATTGGAAAATGGCGGCCAGCGAAGCCTGCGGATACGCGGAGACGAGTGGCGTCCGGTACAGGAAACGGGCACGAGCTTTCATTTAAAATTTCCGGAAGTCGCTCATATCTTAATCGGATAACCGAAACTTCTAAAACTTTCGGTATCCGGTATCCGGCTCAACTTCTAGCGCTCCATGTGTTCGGCGACACGGGGTCTATTTTTTGCGATTATAAAAACAAAGTTCTTTTCCCACGAACAACCGGCATGTTTAATAAGAAGGAGGGATAAGATGATAAACTTTCGGAATTCGACGCTGTCTGGTCCAAAAGTTGGTACACAATTCGTAAAATAGATTTCCACGGAAAAAAATGACGTTTGGTCTCAGCCACAGACGCTATGCTGGGGGAGAGAAGGAGATGAGAGGGCGCGCGCGGACGTCAGAACGCCGCGCTCTGGTTGGAATGATTAGGGGGTAGACCTAAAGCTAGCAGCCTTTGTCTCCACTGCACTCTCTGAACACGTTTGAATGCGAAAGTCGAACATTGGAAGCCGCCGTTCCACGTTCTAACGCGTTCCGCGTTCTAATCTTAAGGTTTTCCCATTAATCATTCTAACCAGAGCTCCAGCCGTTCTCATAGACTCTTCTAAACTCACAAAGCCTGACAGTTCTACGACGGAGCCATAGAGTGCCCGGTCGCAGATTTGGAGCGCGAAGGTCTGGTAGAGCAGAGCATCAAAGAGCCATTTCTAGGGGATCCTGGATGTCAGCGCACAGCTTTTGCAGCGGCGAAGACCCGAAACACACTTGTTCGCGCTGGAGAAGTGTATTTCGGCGTCTCGTCGCAGCGGGGCGCCAGTCATGTGGCTCTTCTCTCATCCGTTGTCTGCCGCTCCACCTTTTCCATTTTGGCGGCCGGTTCTCGTGGCGTTCTGCCAGGCTTTGTCGGTATATAGGCGGCAGTGGTTGTATGTAAGGATAGAGATAAGACATGTGGAGCGGAAATAAGGAGGGTACGGCTGAAAACTTAATACTCAACCGTAAAGTGCTTGAACCTGCAGATGCCGAAAGCGAGCCTGCTTACCACCCGAGGTGCCCATTTGACTGCTGGCTCCATTTGACTGAAAGGAAGAATTCGGCAGGACGCTACGATTCGGTTGGCCCGATTTCGCTAGAATCTTCAATTTGCCAAGTTAGAGCGCTCTGGTAATTAATTGTGTTGTGTGTGTGTTCACACAGCCTGAGGTGAGTTAGCCACAATGGGCGTCTGGTGTCTTAGATGAAGATGGGAATTTTCGTCAGTGCACTACAACCGCGAGCCCGGGGACTTTAACGTGCACCACGCAGCAGTGTTACACGACCGCACGCCGGTACGACGCTCATTCAGATTGAAACGGGCAGGGGTGGGGATTGAGCCCAGGATCCCTAACGCCTCTTTATCCTGGGAAAAGTGGCACCATTAATTCATGTGGAAATGCTGGAGACACGGGCCGCACGCCACTCCTCGGAAGAGCATGGCGTCTGAAATTTGGCTCAGTGCTGCGCTGTGCCGCCATGACCTTCCTAACGGCTGCACGTTGCACGTGCCTCGTGCATTGACGCACTTTGCGGTACTTTTAAAACATGAAGAAGCTTTAGGGATCCCTGGGTTCTCCAGCGCGAGGTTTCGCACCACGTGCTCCGAGCTGGCGTTCGCCAGCCCACTCGGCCACCGATCTCCCCGCGAGCGTTCTGGTCGATATACCTTTTTCTAAATTCCCCAAGCACCAAGGAGCGTGCTGCGAGAGTAGTTAGACGCGCTGAACGTGCTGGCTTCTGCAGTATTAACTGTTATAAAGCAAATGCCTAAAAGAAAGTTTATCTTTCACGCGCGTTCGTCAAAGCCTTATTTTGGTTATTTATTTTGAATATTGTATACTGCGTATGCGAGCGAGTGCGGCGCGTGTAATTACATTCCCAGGATTCTCCTCGATGCTCGGGTAATTGAGCGATAGAAATTGGGCATTTAGCCAATTCGGAGCGTTCAGCCGAATCGATCCTTTCAGCTGAATTGGCTGAAAGGATCTTCGCAACCGTGCCCACCCGATTGTGAAGAGCCCCTTCTGCCAGATGGCTCGTAATTCATTGCAGCAACATTATTGTCGAAAGCGTAACGCTAATGTTTTGTACGTTGCGTACGCGTGAATAAAGGATATGAAAAAAAAAACAAAAAAAAAAACACTGTGGCTATGTGGAGCAAGCCGTCGCCAGGCTTAAGGTAGCGGCCACACTGCCATCACGCACAAAACCCGTCTGCTGACGCTGTCTGATGAGTGCTTCTTTGTATTCCGGTCATGGCACATAGGTAATAAGGAAGGCTGTCTGCAAACATGTTCTAAGCATACATATGTATAAAGGAAACAAGGTTCGAACACCCTTGAGGCACATCCTTGTATTTATATGATACACGAGCCATGCTAAATGGGGCACGCTTTGTGCATCGGCATTCCGTTCCCCGATTTCCTTGCGGGCGCCGCCATTTTTGTGCGTAGCACATTGCGGGCACAAGATGACGATCGTTACAATTAAAAAATGCAGCGTCCCGTGCTTGAGACGCGGAGTCGAGAAGCTCGAGCGATATCGTATGCGGAGCGCAAGTTCGTCTGCTTCTTTTGCAGGTTTTGTGTTGACGTCAGAACGCTGAGCTCTGATTGGTTCTGATGGAAGGATAGTGGGTAGACCTCAAGGCAGGTTGCTTTGAGGTCTACCCACTATCCTTCAATGAGAGCCACTCGGAGCTCGGCGTTCTGAGATCACCCCAACCCCTGCAAACGAAGCAGACGAATTTGCGTTCCGCGTTGCTTCGTTGCGAACTGTTCTGACATGTCTCGAGGACGGAAAACCGTTTCCTGCAATTTCAGATAATGCCCCGGATAACTGGCAACCATTGTTTTGAGCACCAAGATTGTTGAAGTGTCGTTGATCTAAAGCGTATAGACCCATGCACCTTTCAAATTTTTTAGCAGCGCCCCTGGCGAGCAAAATGGGATAGTTTTAGGTCGCGTTTTTGTTGTGCGTCGTGTTACGTTCTTTGCAAGCGCCGTGTTACTGCGCGTGGACAGACGAAGAGTGACACTGACAGACGCTATGTTCTGTTTCACCTTACGATGGACCGTAAAGGACGCTACGAGCTACCGGAGCCAATTCATACGTCCCTCCTGTTGGACGGAGCGACGCGGAGAGCGCGAAGTCACGAGACAAGCTACAAACTATGGATTGGCTCGTGTAGCTCGCAGCGTCCACCGCATCCTAAGGTAAAACGGAGTAGTAGGCGTCTGTCGAGCGTGCATGACGGGACGCTAAAAAAGCTGCTTGCCTCAACATTAAACGGTTACGTCTCACGGACGCTAGTGGAGGTGTCTTTTTTGAGGTCCCTTCACGAGTATGCTACGGCACCCCCTGTCCGAGAGAAATAGCCCTATAACTAATTTTGTGACTAAGGTCCAGCCGTATGCATCTCTCCAGCCATTCAATGACCGTGGCTGCGAAGCTCTTGTGTATACCAAAGGGGGGGACATTGACTGAATGTTCCGTTCACACAGTGGAACGTGGTCCCTGCCAGGCCAAGAACCCCTTCGGACCTGGATTCAGCGACGGCGTCTGCATGCCCATGGTCAAGTGCAAAGAAACGCTGCACGGTATCATCAGGCTCAACTTCCCCGTCGTCTGCGGCTTTGAACTCCTAACGCCAATCGTCTGCTGTCCCATCATGAACGGACCTGCCGGTGGGTATCGGGGCCCTTTCCACTGTCGTCTTATTGCATTTCGTTTAGAAGAGGAATCTCTCGTGAGCATTTAGCCGCAGACACCGTTCGTGCATCATACAAAAGACGTTCGCCGCAGACGTTTATGACAGAAGCATCTGCGGACACTCCTGAAGCACCCTCAAAGCATGTTTGCTTCATGTTCGCGTCGAACGTGTTTGTAGAGAGTCTTCGTATCTACAGCGTGGAAAGACCGTCATACAAGGGCCGTCCCCATGTTTTGTGTTCTTCCCATTATTTACATTATACTTACCAGCACGCTCTTCATTCCAGGTACAATTTTGTGTGTGTTTAAGATATACAACGCGCTTGCTACAACTCTTTTTCAATAACAGCAGGCGCCTATTTAGTACTATTGCACACTGCAGTTGGGTCAATTTAAAAATTAAAACTTCCCCAAAAGAAAAAAGAAGTTATTCTGTGGTACAATTCAACCCGAGACTTTCACGCCGCAACGGCCAGTTCCGGCTCTTTTATATCTGGACTTCAGTATAGAGTTAAAATCGCGACGCTGGCGCAGATATGTAAATACAATGTCACTGCTTTTATCTCGCGTGATTTCTCTTTTATTTTGGCTCATATTCACCTTCCCTGGCCGTAACTTCATAAGCCGCTCCTCAAGTGTAGGCTGCAGTTATTTGAACTCGAGTAGAAAGCCTGTGCGGTCAGTTTTTGCGAGCGAAATCGAAGTATTGTGCTCAAAGCGACAAGGATTTCTCTTCCATTAGGCAGGGACGCTAGGTACTTCCATGTCCCCATGGAGCTGGTCACGTGACATAAAAATTCCTCTTGGCCGCAGCCGCGAGATAAGCGAACTGGCCCAGGATTTCTTCCTTCAGTGGGGGAGGCTCTTTTAGTCAGGAAATTCAAAGTCACGTGACAGTCGAGTCAAGAGGTTCAAAGACTCAAAAGACCTAACGTGCTAAGAGATTCGATATGCGTCAAGAGGTTCAGCGAGTCACTGACTCATCGGTTCAAATAATCCAATGAGTCAAGAGGTCCAACGAGTGAAGGGCCCTTTTGACCCATCCATATGGGATCTCTTGATGCGATATGCCAGTTGACCCATATTCGACCATAGGGCGCTAGAGGTTCAACAAATATAATGGGCGCTAGAGGTTCAACTGCCGCAAATGTCTATGCGACTTCCGTGATGCAAATTGAAGCAGACAACAACCAGTCTACTTTTGCGGTACTCTTGTGCATTCCTATGGCAAAACACGCGTGCATTTTCTCTTCGCGGCAAATAACACGGAACACATTGGTTACTCGGGTCGAACCGAATAGTATGTACCTTAACATTACCAAAGTGTAATTGCCTTAGTTAGCACATTTTTTTTCATCAGTGAATGATGTCCAACTTCGCTACATTTCAGTCCCAAACATCTTGTGCAGCAGGTGGGTAAAAACAAGCGACGATTCAAAGCAAAATAACAACCGCAAGGAATATAGACTGTATTCAAGATTCACCAGCATTTCGGTGACGGTTATAAATTGGTAATAAGCCAGTCTTGTCACTCTATGAAAATGACCCCGTCGTGCATCATTATGAGCGGATAAAAACATTCCCCTTATAACAAGCCCCTTATAATAGGGATCAGTGGAAGAGACAAAAACAAATAGACCGCGACATTGGACGTCAACAGAGAAGCTTCTAGCTCAGTAGCATCTATGTCTGTCATCCCTGTGTCAATATGCTTGTGGAAAAGATGGAAGCCGCAATAAACTTTGTGGTCTTTGGTGTTGTCTATTTATTTAGTGCGCATTATACTTGTAGAATGTTTCACGTGAAGTCGCTCGTTGTCTTCGGGGTTTGTGCTGAGTTAGTTGTCGCCGATTGTCAGCCAAGGGTCTCTTCTCTTGGGTTTAAAGGAGGTCGGGATCGTGGACTTTTGGGATTGAATAGCTTGGTTTAATATACAGGTATATATACACAAAAATTACAATATAGTTAAAGTTTACTCGTTCTCAAAACTCAATGGCCTCTGCCGTTTTACTCTATAAATGGCACATCTCCACTTTCTCCATTGTATTTCCATTGTTTTTCTCCGCATCGCTCTCGCGATGGGGTTGTTATCTCAACTCCTCCTGCATCGCTTTCGATGCGTCTCCTCTGAAATCTCGTAGTCGACTCCCCTTTCTCAAATGTCACGCTCCCAGCCATAGCTACCCTCCTCTCTTCCTCTCTTTCACTTTCTCCCTCTAACACGCATTTTCGTCTCCGAAGAACGGCTGCACATTACCCGACAAGCAAAGTCAAATAACGAGTTCAGTTGGCGCTGCCAAAACAAAACGGCCCTTTGCCGCCCACTCTGTAAACATCTCAATTATTGACCCCTACAAACGCACGCACAAATCCTTAACATACCTCTCGTTTCCACAATAGCCGATTCCCGGTACAACCCCGAAAGGTCGACGACGCGGGATGGGACGTGCCATCAACGGCATAATATGCGTACTCGAAACAGGACACATTCCGCACGAAGTCTGCAAGAGCAGCTGTAAACAATACAAAGCACCTTCGTAGACGAGGAAGTTATACATGGAGCTCTCTAAACAGGCGTAAGGTTACAACGTTCACGTTCGCCTCCACTTGAGGCCCATCGACCCCGGTAGGGGGCATGCGCCGTGCCGTAAAGATGCTCGAACCCCCGAAGAAGGCAAAAACATACAAAATTACACAACAGTACTACCTTCAGGACCCGAAGGCACTGCACAGGAGGAAAACATAAAAAAACGCCAGCTTCAAAATAATTAGGAAAGACTCGGTAAAAAATCACTCACAAACAGGTCAGGGACCACTGTGACAATGTTTTTTGAAGTCATATTTAAGTAAATTAGGGTGAGTGATATTTGCAATCAACCCGGACAGGTAGTTCTATTCTGCAACGGTGTGAGAAAGACGAGAGAAATGTGGTTGGACGAATGTGGTCGTAAAAGTGGAGTACCGGCGAAATTTTTGTAGTCGCCGATTTGCATCGAAATTGGTGAAACACATCAATACACACATCTGAACTAGTGCTATTTGATATCACAAGTCACAATAATTTTTTTTTTTCGCGTAGTTAATGAATTTTCAACTTTATTCTGAGAGGCAGAGGGCTTTTTTTTATTATTTAACGATACTACCTTGCCCAAAGGGCCGTGGGAGGAGAGGCACAGCAATACAAAAAAAAAAAAGAGAATACAATTGAACACCAGGGATAATGTGTCCCAAAACATTATACAATATATATAGCACCATAAACAAAGCAATAAATATTAAAAAGACATAGAGTATGAATTTGTGACATCAGCGTGCAACTTGTTCTGAATTGGTTACATCAGCGTGCAGAAATGTGGCCCAAAACATTAAACAACATTTATAGCACCCAGCCTACAAGTCAATAAATAGGAACAAGTACCTGAACGCGAGAAAAATTAATTTCATCTATTAAAAAAAAAGAGACAGTGGCTTCATCGATAAAATCGTCGATAGATTCTGAATTGGTGACATCAGCGTGCGGCTTGTTCCATTCAACAATGGACCTAAGGAAAAAGGAGTCTTTGAATGTGTCCTATCGTACTTGACACTCCTGTATTGAACGTGCACGAGATGATCTGGTTTTTAATCTGCCTGAAAATGTAATGTACCTTGAAGTCTCGATGTTTAATTTACCCTGAATCATTAAAACAGTATCTTTAATCTATCTATCCGCTTTCTTTCGCTTAATGTTAGTAGGTGAGCTTGTTGCAACATTTCTGAAGGGGAGCTTCGTGTTTCATATTTGTTGTAAACAAACCGTATTGCCTTCCTTTGTACACCGTCTAGCTTATTTATATTAATTTTAGTGAACGGGTCCCAGACAACATTTGCATATTCTAAAATTGGCCTTAATATTTAATTCATATTCTTAAATTAGCCTTTTATAGACTGTACGTTTTGTGTTGGGAGAAGAGTGCCTGAGGAGACGTTTTACGGCCCAAAGCCGCTGGGTCGCTTTTGTTGTAATGTAATAAATGTGTTTGTCCCATAAGAGTTTATTGCTAAAATATAACCCCGAGTACTTGTATTCTTGGATGCATTAAATAGGTTGACGATCAATGGAATAGAAGAACTCCAGGGGACACTTTTTCCGTGTAATAGACATTGAAACAGTTTTTGAAGTATTTAGCTTCCTTTGCCATTCCCGACACCAAAACAGTATCCTTTCTAAGCAATTCTTCAAAACTATTTGGTCTTGATAGGACTCAAATTTTTTGTATAAAATGCAATCGTCTGCGAATAATGTAATGTTGACATCTATGTTTTTAGTTATATCGTTCTTATATAGGGTGGTTCAAGTCACCAGGCTCGATCTAAAATGGACCGAAAAAATCGACGCCTGCACGTAGCCACCTAAACTTTTCGTCAAAGGTGTAATTCACAAATCGGTTGTTCCTTGTAAAATCACAAAGCGTAGCTCTTTTTATGTCAAAAATAAGGCCAAAAAACTTTCCAAGGTCTACGGCGGCCGCAACGCAGACGACAGGGGTCCAGTAGCGGGGTGTGTTTGGCGTTCATATTGATAGGTGGCGCTACCTCCTTATCGCGACTATTCGCGACGGCTCGCGACCACCGTGGTTTATTAAAATAAATATAATCTTTTTGAAATGTACCTTCGGTTAAAAAATAAATGCCAACAATAAAAGTAAAACTTAAAGTAAAAAAAACTCGTCTGCATAACGGCGGCGCTTTTGCTGCCAACGAATTTCGTCTGCGTGTCGTCTGCTATCTTTCGCTGGTCGGCTGCACCTTTAGACGCTGCTCGCGACGCCATTTATCGATACGAACGCCAAACACACCCCGCAACTGGACTTGGTCGTCTGGGTCACCGCCCGCCGTAGACCCTGGCAAGTTTCTTGGCCTTATTTTTTACTAAAAGAGAACTACGCTTTGCAATTTTACAAGAAAAAACCTACCTGCACAATACACCTTTGAC